ATTGGTACAAGATGAGTTGAGCAGGTTGTCCGAAGATCAAAGACGAAATTTGTTGGATTTGCCCATACAAATGCAACCAGAAGCAACAATGGAAGATGCCCTAGCTGGCGAGAAAAGAGAAGCTGCAGATGATGAACCTCGAGAACGGAAAGCAGCACGATTGGACCGTGAAGGCAGTCCTAGTTCCTCTCAGCTGTACGCACCATTCTTCGCTGGAAAGGTGGAGCTTCAGCCCCAGCAGCTGCACGATGATGAATGTTGGGAGGAAGGTATAGATTGGGAGATGATGGAGTTTGACATCGACGAGATTCCCACTGATTACAAAGGCGAGCAACCGCCAGAGCTTCTGCCAGAAGACCTTGAACAGCTCGATGGAGAAGCCATGAAAACAGAAGTTGACAAGCTTTCGAAACTTGGGGTAGTGAAGGTGTTGTTCGAAGAAGAACGAGATCCCAATGGTAAGTTTGTTGACCTTCGTGAAGTGTTTGATTGGAGAAAACGAGATGGTCAATGGAGAAGGCGGTGCAGGATTGTTGCCAGAGATTTCAAAACAGGTCCTTTCAATGAGGATACATTCAGTCCCACCTCGGCATATGGTGTCATTCGATTTTTCTTGATGTGCCATTTGATCTATGGATGGAAGATCACATGTCTTGATATCAGTGATGCCTATCTTACAGTCCCACAGGTTGAAACGTGCTATGTGGCAATTCGTCCTTGGATTCAGAAGTTGTTGAGTCTTCCTTCAAATGCATTGTGGGAACTCAAGAGAGTTTTACCAGGCCAACGGAATGGCGCACAACGGTGGTTCAATGCTTTCAGTGAGAAGTTGAGACAACTTGGATTTGTGCAGTGTCAAGCTATGCCTTCGGTACTGCGGCATGAGCACAAGAAGATTGTCATCAATGTTCATGTTGATGATGAGTTGATTGCAAGTGAGACCACTGAAGATGCACTATGGTTGATCCGAGAGTTGAAGAGATTTTACAAGTTGCAGATCGAAGGGCCATACCCGGTTCAGAAACTTGGAAATGGAGAAGAAGTCACATATCTCAAGAAGAGTTATCTTTTCGCGGAAAGTGGACTCTATGTCAGACCGAATTCCAAGTATATCGAAAGTCTACTGGCCTTATACGATTTGCGCGGAAGGAAAGAGAAACAGGTACCAGACCATAGCCTTTTGTGTCAGATTGATGCATCAGAAGATTTGGATGGGCCGAGACAGGCAAAATTTCGCAGTGGACTTGGGATTGCAATGTACCTTGCACACGACAGAGTTGATATTCAATTTTGTGTCAAAACGCTTGCATCGTGGATGAAGTCACCAACAGTACAAGCAGAGAAAGCGTTGATTCAGTTGATCCTATACCTGTCAGGTACAAGAGATTTTGCTTTTCACATGCCATACAGCCAGGTTGGTACAAAGATGGTGTACAAGCTGCACAGTGTCGATGAGTACCCAGAGTCAGAGATTCATTGCATGGAGGTGTACTGTGACTCAGATTGGGCCGGTGGTCCGAAGCGGCGGTCAACTACATCGGTGATGATTTTGATGAATGGTTTACTCTGTTTATCATTCAGCCGCACTCAAAAGAGCACAGCACTGTCATCCTGTGAAGCTGAGGTACTAGCTATGACAGCAGGAGCAAGTGAGGCATTGCTTTTGAAAGCAGTTTGGACATTTATGGTACAACAAAGTTGTGAAGTTGAAATGAGGTCAGATAGCAGTTCAGGTCGACAGTGGTTGCAACGAACAGGGCTCGGACGACTCAAACATGTTGACGTGAGACTATGTTGGTTGCAGTCGGCGTTGAAACAGAGAACATTGGATGTTTTACCAATAGGGACGAAGTTGAATTTAGCAGACCTCAACACCAAGAAGCTAAGCCAGGCACGTCGACAATTCCTTTTGTATTTTCTTGGAGTTGTGAGATTGAATGATGAAGGAAAGGTGAAAGAGAGAGTTGGAGAACAGGAATACTTGGATTCTTTGGCATCCGAGATGTGGAAACAACAAATCCAAAACGTCACGAGGTGGAGCAAAAACAGAACACACAAGTTGGTACAATGTGCGATGATGTTGCAAGCAATTTCATTGAAAGGATGTGGAGAACAAGATGCACCAGAAGCTGCTGAACAGAGCGGTAACCACCAAGTGGTGTATACACTGGTCATTTTGATGATCCTGGGTGTTTGCAATTACGTGTACACACATTGGAATGATTTCCAGAGGCTTCGAGGAAGGCTGGGCAGGAAAAGGAAGCGAGAAGAAGTTCAATCCCATGAACCAGAACCAGAAGTGGCTACGACAGTTGGTTTGACAACGAACAATGAGCTGAGCATTGGAGCAAATGAACAAGCAAGTTCGAGTGAGGGGCCGGTGCCACCAAAGCATCCGCCACCTCTTGGACCTCCACCACGAGCTCCAGTGTTTTCCCCCATTCCGGTGGATCCTCCACCGAGATGGGAACCATGGTCACCAGAGTGGTTCCTATACTGGATGCTTGGAAGAGTTGAAGATCGTATTAGGAGAAGAGGCCACAGAATGGACCATGATTGGCAACGAAGATACTATCACAGACAACAAATTCTTCAAATGCAGTTGGGCATTTTGGAACAAAACCACAGTGAAGGAGTTCGTGGAAGAGCTCATATGATGTGTCGGGGAATGACAGATTTGTCTCCCGACAGCCAGAGTGATCCAGGCCCAGAGATCGAAGAGGAGAATGAGCCGGAAGCTGAAGGTGGTGGTGAAGGTGAAAGTATAGATACCTATGTCTATACAACTGGAACAGCAATGGATGATCAGATGAGACAACATGTTGATGAACAAGATGGTTACTTCACTTCGAGCACACTACCAGGTAGAAGTTTACCAGCAGGTACAACACATACAGCACAAGACGACAACCATGAACCAGAAAGTGACAACAATAGCGATGATGAAGAGACAGCGTCCCAATTGAGACGCAGATATTTACAGTCCGGCTTGGATGAAGTGAGTGATCCAGAATATTGGCAACAGCTACATCATTTTGATAGCGAGCCAGATTCAAGTGGAGACGACAATACAAATCATTAAATTTGAATGTGGTATGCATGTTTGTTGGAGTGTTCTATGAAACCATCTGAACCATAGACACTCGAAGTATGTGGGTACCGTGCAACAGCTGAACCACGGTACAATACGACAATGGACAACGACAGAATTCATTTACATGCAAAGCAATTTACAAAGTTTTGGTTGAGCAAGTATGGATGTGTGAAACCAACTGAACCACACAATCCAGTGCAGAATTTGTGAAGGTTTTCATCGAAATAGCATTTTCGAATGTCGGAACGGAATGTATCATAGATACAGTAAGTGCAAGAGACCTTTTTCAGTTCTACCTTGCAGTGGTAGATCTTGCACAAAATCGAGAAGTGTACAAAACAGTGTGATGCGTGAACTTGAACGTTTCGCATCAAGGCTGGGTGTTAGCCTTTTTCAATGGTTTAGGTACAGACATGTACAGTCAAGTTAGTACACTGTTTGCTAGTTGAAAACTACTCCGCTACCGAAGCGCGTGGATCAAAACAAGCGTGCTACCAAACATTTGGACACGTTGCGCTGGAAGAAGAATTGATGAGGAAACACGACAGATTATGGAACCAAAGCCCCGCACACAACTCTTAAAGGGAATCCCAACAATTTACATAGACCTTGGTTTATGGGTACCTTGGGTGGACCTACTCATGTCGTCTCTGCAGCTGATTCCACTGGCGGCCGATGCCAAAGCCAAGGCGAGGTGGTTTTCATATCATTTGTTTGGGCGTCAACTTCCACATTTGAGGTTCTCTTAAGAGCCGGTCAGGATTTCTGCTCGACATTCCGTCATGTTGATGGTCCAATTCGTTCAGTGTTGGTTTGGGCCGGATGATTGTTGTTTGGACAAGGCGTTCTTATCCATGGGTCGAAGTAGGAAATGGGACGTGACGATTTCCAGGTGCTCTTTTTGCACAGCTGGAGTTGCGCGCCCTGGTAATTTGCACTAGCCAAAAATGTGATCCTTTCAAGCAATTTGAGACGCATCGGATCGCAAACCATGTATGGTCCGCGGTGTTCCGTATTGAGCCCGGAAATGGACTCTTTGTTTTCCCAGCCCTGGTTGCTTCGTGGTTGGCGAGGTTTAGTGCTCTTGGTGTGGTGGTTGGAAAAAGCTTCCATTTTGGGTTTGCCCCATTACCTGCAACAGTCGGTAAACAATTAGCGCAATTTTTTGAAGAAAGGCCTTTACAAACGATCATCATCTACTGTTACTGGCAATACCCAACTTCCATCAATCAAGTGCTCAATCGCTCCAGTGCTTTGTTGCTCTAGATCTGTAGATGAGCCACTATTGCGTAGGAGATGGTTGCAACCTCCTACGGCCGCATGCGGCCGGAATCGTGCGCAACATTCATTTTGAACTTTTGGGGGCATCAATTGACATCCATAATTCTTTAGACATTCATCCCTGGAATGGTTCAGCATAGTTCAGCCTGTTGCCATCCCTTCGACATCGTCTCTCCTGCGGTGGAGCCGAGCCCTGGTGCGATGCGACAGCGTCAGGTCCCACATGCCAAGAGATTTGATGGTCACAAAAAAGTTCGGATGGCCTAGGGGGTTCGGATGGTTCAGTTTCCGACTGCGGAATTCCCCGAACTGGGCAGAGATGAAAAGATACGAAGTTGTTGGAGGAAGTACACAAAATTCCCTTCCCTGGTGTTGATGTTAACAGCAGGTTAGGTGGTTATCCTTTGCATCACATAGCGAACTGCTTGAGCAGAAAGAATGTTGGAAAAACTAAAGAGATCTATATAAGTCAACACTGCAAACTGTGGAGAACGACCTGCTAACGCTTTTTCTCAGCTTGATCCCCACTACCTGACTTTGCGCTCGGCTCCCTGTGATTCCCGGCTCCACCAGCGTTTAGCTCCACCCAGCTCCACCACGGCACCCGCCCCACGTGACCCGCGCCATGTCGGTGACCTTCGTGAGCCCCGCGTCCGCCGGCGCCGCCCGCGGCACGGCGCTGCCGGGCGTCGGAGCCGCCCCGCGGGCCGGTGCCACCGGCAGCTCGGGCGCCGGCAGCGCGGCCGGCCTGGCGGGGGCCTTGTGCCTGGGGGCCTTGGCTTCCAAAGGCCAGACCTATAGGTGGAAGAAGTGGCGGACGGAGAGAGAGAGAGAGAGAGAGAGAGAAAGAGAGAGACTTTGGAGTCCAAAGTCACATTTCGGCTTAAAAAGGTACCACGGCTGGATTTTCTCAGCACTTTCTGGTTTCGAAAGGTAGGATGCAATGACGAAGATGTAATAGGAATACTATATGCCAAAGGCGTGTTTGCCAAGGAATGTTGTTGGTCTCCAATTTCCTGGACCGCGGGCGCTCGCACAGGTTCGGCGGGCGCTCGCACCAAGAGGGGCTCCAAGGTGGTCGCGCAAGCACTGGGCTCCATCGATCAGTTCAAGGCCGCCGGGCGCGACCTGAACGACCTGTGTGACCTCGTTCTGTGTTCCTTCCTGTTCGACCTGTAGGAAGTCTTGGAAGGTCTTGGGCGGTCTTGAGAGGAACCCGGCATCATGTAGACGCCATTTGGAGGAATCCACCCGCTCCCCATTTGGATTGAACCACCTCTTTACATGGGGGAGTAAAAATGGTAAAAACTCACTCATCGAACAACGACAGCGTCTGCTTTTTACGCGGTTCGTCCTGAACATCCTCCCCATGCCGTCCGCGCTCCCAGCTCGCTCCGATCGACGCTCGGATCAACGCGTCGTGGCTCCGCCACTCACCGCTCGCTGCAGGTCTTTGGACCTCCCGAAGATCCCTTCGAGATCGAGACCGACAAGGCGCACCCGCACCCGCGGGTTTCGCGCGTCCCGCACGCGCAGGGGACGAAGCGAAGCCCAAGCACCGGGAGGAAGCAATCGATTGGGAGGAAGCGGAAGCACCAATCGGGGCGCGAATGACGATCTTTTGGCGTGAGGATGTACCTCTTTTTGCTGGGCTGTGCCCTCTGAAGAACGCGGGGCGACGGTCAGGTGGTTTTGGGATGTTGGAGCCTTTTGAGACGCTTTTGATACGAAACACAACTTTTCATGGTTCGGTTTGAGAGTCAATAGTGTAGGCTTTCCTCCCCTTGAAAGCTCACTGTGTCACTGTCGAGAGGGGATGACTCAGGCTGACTCAGGCTTCACACATTGACGAGTGCCATGCCTGCCGTGCGTTTTTGCTTGACCTGCTGCACGTGCCGTGCCTGAGCCGACCTTTCGGCGCTTAGGAGTGGGTGGTGGGTGGTGGGTGGTTGGTCATGGCACCGGACTCCCTCCGGTTTGACCCTGGCAGGTTGACCGACTGTATAATAGGTCGTTGCTTTTCCTTCGGTCGGTGAACCCGTTTCGTCCGCCTGGTTTCAGTCCAACAGACCACTCCACTCAAACAGCTCCATGGTTGGATTACTCTCCTGACAGGTGCTTGGTGTGGGTGGCCAGGGTACTGTCTACTTGTGCCACAAGAGAAGCACGCCCAACGTGAAGCATGCCGTGAAGACCATCCCCATTTGGCGACTGCTCATGGACCCCTCCTGTGATCAGAAGATCGCGGAGATCCGAAGCTGGGCGGCGAAGACCGTCCGTCGGTCAGACGGGCGACCACCCGCCGCCGGGCGACCACGCGCCGTTCCGATGGTTTGGTCCGAATTGGGTGGCCCGTAGACGCAGTGAGTGCACCCGGGGCTGAAAACGGACCAGAGTGGAAAAAACATTCTCTCCTAGTAGCGTCCTTGTTTCTAGTAGCGATGCCAGGAGCCCTAGTAGCTTCTTGTTCCTAGTAATAAGGTCAGGAGCCCCTAGTAGCTTCTTAGAAAATAGAAGTCTACAAACCAGTGCTTTTTCTTTTCAGGTTCCATGTCAATTTTCCAGATTGTATTGGTGGAGGGTCCATGAACAGTGGCATGCTGTCGCGGCACCCTGCGCTGGTGGCCAAAAGGTGTGGCATAAATTTACTGTCCTGAGGATCCCTGCCCTCCACGCAGTTTGTCCTTTATTTTGAAGAACAAAAGATACCCGCCCGCCCTCTCTCGCCATCACATGCCTCACATGCCGCACCATGCTGAGGAAAAGAGACCGATGTCTTGATGAAGATCCAGGGCCATCCCAACATCTGCAGCTGCCTCGGTTGCTTCGATGCTTACCGGCCTGGCACCTCCCAGGCTCAGTACATCATGATCGTCATGGAGCTCATTGACGGAGGCGGCGCGGCTCATGTGGGCGGGTCCAGATGCACATGTTTCACAAAGCGCCCGGCCCGTCTTTTTGTTCGCCATCTTTTCCAGTGAAAAGTGTTTGGACGATTCCTTTGGATTGGTGGAGGATTGTTTGGATTGGATGTTGAAACCTCAGATGCATTCTCCAGATGTTTGGTGGACTTTGTTTAGAACTTCGCCCGGCCCAGTTTGGTGAGGGTTTTTCTAGGAAGGGTCGACCCGAAGACCTCGCGGGGGCCCAGAATCACGTTAAGCTCAAAAACACCTGGTCCAAAAAGGAGGTGTGAGTTTTCGGCACGAAACCTTTGAGACGATCGATCGATGCTGATGTGTTTTCACTTGTGATTGTGCGCTCAAGCAAGGGCGGGCGCGCGCATAGCTAGAGCCAATCCGGATACGCCTTCGGAAAATCATGTGCGCTTGAGAGGTGCATTTCGGTTCCTGAACTTCGTGTGTCAAGGGATCATTTGTTGTTGGTGGCGCGGAGCCTTTTGTGCATTGGTTGGTTGCACATTGTACATTGAGCAACATTGTCATTGCTTGCGATTTGATCGTTGGTTGAGTTGGTTGCATTGACATTGGTTGCTGTCGGTCGTACATTGTGCATTGATGGCCACAGGGACTGCAGCGCAAGGCAGTGGGTCGGCTTCGACTGCTTATGTTGGAAAAGCTCACGAGAACGTTCCTGAGTTTTCTGGCAAGTCGAGCGACTACAAGGAGTACAGGAAGAGGTTGCTCCTGTACGAGAAGAAGATGAGTTTGGCCGGCAGGTCCTCAGAGACCAGTTTCAATGTGCTGGTGACATTGAAGGGTCGTGCATGGGATGCATGTGATGACATCTCCATGTCAGATCTTGAAGGGTCCACCGCCATGCAGAAGATTTTGGAACGGTTGGATAAGGTCTTCAAGTTCGACGCGATCACGGAGCTTCCTGGAGATTTTGAAGCATTTTTCTGCACGTTGCATAGAAAGAAGAACTCGACGTTGCAAGAATATGCTGGTGACTTTGAACGAGCATTGAGGAAATTGGAAGCCCACAATGTCACATTGCCAGATAAGGTTGTTGGCTGGTATTTTATGAGGAGAGCTGGACTGACCCAACAGCAGAGACAGTTGATCATGAGTGCATTGGGCACTGGGACATTGTCGCTGGACACGGTTCGCAAGGCTATGAACTTTGTCATTGGGCAGGACAGTACACCTGAAGGTCATTCGACCTATTCCACCAAGGCCTCAAGTCGTTGGCGTGCGCCATACAAAGAAGCTGTTTACTATGGTGAAGAAGATGAAAGCTTTGATTTTGAGTATGGTGAAGATGCCGACGAGGAACCAGATTGCTTTTGGGCCGATGATGGTGGTGATGACGGAGAAGAAGAAGATGGCGATGATGAGATTCATGCAGTGAATGATGACCTTGCTGCAGAATACGATGAAGTCCTAGCTGGATATACAGAAGCCCGACAACGACTGAATCAGATGAGGATGAGCAGAGGATACTACCCGGTTGTTGCGATGATTCCAGAACAAGCTTCATCCAGTGGCAAGGGCAGTTTTTCATCGCCCAAAGGCAAGAGCAAGAGCAAAGGCAAGGGCAAGAGTCATGCTGGAAAAGGTGGAAAGCAGAATCCACGACCTCCACCTCAGCCAAAAGCCCGTGGCCGTGCAGCTCTTGGTGCAGAACGTTGCTTGCGTTGTGGTCAGGCTGGACATCGAGCCAAAGCGTGCCCCGTTGCTGGCAAGAGAAAAGCGGAGACAGATGCTGACATCAACATGGTTGCTCCATTCGAGTCCGATGAGCCAGATTCCATTCAGCTGGCAGTTGAGGAGAATGGCACTATGTCTCATGACATCGCCATGATGGACTGTGGAGCAGGTTCAGTGTTGACCTCAGAGGGAAGACTTCGAAAGTACCTCGAGATGTTGATGGCAGCAGGGTTCAATTTGAGCCAGATACAAGTCTTCCGTTGCAAGAAAGGCTTCAGGTTTGGCAATGGAGAGAAGAATATCACTTCTGTTTGCTTGCTTGTTCCCACGTTCATGGAGGGCCGCCGCCGTGACATTTTGATGTATGTCATTCCAGGTGATGCACCATTCTTGTTTGGACGCCCAATCATGGAGGCATTGGACATCACCATTTCCTATTCGGCAGGCAAGATCAAGTGGGGCCGCAAGGCATGGAAGAAGTGTGCTCGTGGCACTCGAGGCGAATTCATTTGCCACATGGCCTCAGATGTGTCAAGGTTGCTTGAGACGGAGCCTTCCAGCATCCTGCTCCCAGATGACTTTGAGCAACATGTTCACCCAGAGCCACTGTCCACCCAGATTTTCTTTGATGGTCAGGTGCAGTCGATGCTCAACGTGAGCGAGGACTCGGTGAACAGTGTCATTGATGAGCAGGAGAATTCAAGTTTCACATCAGTGACTACCATTTTGGAGTCACAACATTCAAGTTTCACATCAGTGACTACCATTTTGGAGTCACAACAGAGTCCATCGGCTTGTGAGAAGAGTGGACCACCTCCTGAAGACGCAGGGGCACAGCTGATGACGAGCCTTCAATGCAGTGAGATCACGATGGATCTCGAGTCAGATGATGACGTTGTGGTGACAGAAGAGTTGAGTTGCGATCCAAGGGCAAAACCAGATGAACATGAAGCTGCTTGCTCTCCATCCTCCACGCCAGAAGACCGTGAAGTCTTCCAGAAGCTGCCATCCGGCAAGCTTCGACAGCTCATGCGTGACACCGAGCGGAGGATCAAAGAGTTTGAAGATGTTCTCAAAGCCTCTCCACTACGGGACTATGACCGCAAGTATGTCCTGTGGGAAGTGTTTGCTGGAGAAGGTCGTGTGAGCAAGACAGCTGCAAGGCGACAGAACATGCAGAGTGAACGTTTTTCATTGAGTGATGGTTGGGATTTTGCTCAGGCCTCCCACAGAATGGCATTTCTTCGTCGTTTGAAGTCTGAGGAGCCAGATTGTGTGTTGATCTCCCCTATGTGCAAGCTATGGAGCAGTCTGCAAGAGCTCACGTGTGCAGCTCATGAAGGCTATGCTGAAACCCTGGACATTGCACGACAGTGGGACCACGACAACATCCTCATGTTTTGTTCAGTGATTTTTGAGCATCAGAGGAGGAAAGGCAAGCTGGCGTTGTGTGAACATCCCAAACGTTCACGTGCTTGGGCGACTCCAGCATTCCAAGCGATGAATGGGCATGATGCTCATGTGGATCAGTGCATGTTTGGTCTGCGCCTTCTCAATGATCACAATGAGATGCTGCCAGTTCAGAAGCCCACGACATTTCGAACCACCAGAGCATCCTTGTCAGAGAGGATCAGCAAGCATTGTGACGGAACACACTCACACACTCACTTGGAAGGCAGTATTCCTGGTGTTGGTTTGCGTTCCTGGCTTGCAGAGAGTTATCCTCAGGCATTGGCCAGTCACCTCGTGAATGCTATCATTGCTGAGCTTGAATCTGATGACATCTTTGCTGTCGAGGATATGCCATCGGCTCAACAAGAGATTGCGGACTACATGGCTGGTCGTCATCAAGGAGCTGAACGTTTTGTCAGTGAGCCTCAGGCAGCAGATCCCAAAGATGACAAGAGAGCAGTAGCACTCGAGTCTGAAGAGTTTGACAGCTTGGATCCAGTGCGGAAGAACAGAATCCTACGATCCCAGGTTGGACCTCGTGCTGTTGAGTATGTGCAACGGCTGCACAAGAACCTTGGCCATCCAGGTTGGGAAGTTCTTCATCGCATGTTGAAAGAGATTCAAGCAACAGACAATGTTCTTCAGGCTGCAAAATTTTACACATGTCCGTTGTGCTATGCTCGCAAGCCTCCAAAGGCCAATCCACCTGCAAGTGGGCTGAAGTGTACTGAGTTCAATGAAAGGATCCTCGTTGATAGTCACTGGATTGCATGTGAAGACAGCATGGTGAAAGAACGAGTTCCTGCACCAGGTACACCAGCAGCTCGTCGCAGAGAGAAGGACAAGAAGGAGAAAAGGCCAACAGGTCGACAGTGCGTGTTGACAATCATCGACCATGCCACCAGATATTGTGCAGTTCGGATCCTACAATCTGAGCGCGCTGATGAGTTCACAAAAGGTCTTGAGCGTGCTTGGGTGAAGCATTTTGGAGTTCCGAAGATTCTGCGCATTGACGAGGCAAAAGGTTGGTCGAGTCAGCATGTCAGAGAATGGGCCACACAGCGTGGTGTGACGCTGGAAGTGCAACCTGCTGAGAATCATAGCTGGCTTGGTGTTGTTGAGAGGAAGCATCAAGTTGTCCGACGAGCGTTGGAATTGTTTATGGATCAGTGCGACAGTCATGATCTCAAGTCGTTGAAGAAGGCCGCACTGTATGTTCCTCATTCAATCAACCAGCTCAGCTTTCATCGTGGGTTCACTCCTCAGCAGTGGGTTCTTGGCAAATCCATGACCTATGTTCACGGTCTCAGTGGAGAGTTTTTCAATCCTGCACAAGAGGCCATCGATGAACAGGGCAATTTCGCTCAGATCCAGGCCAGACGGACAGAAGCTGCAAAAGCTTTCATTGCAGCAGATTCAGATGCCAAGTTGCGCCGAGCCTTCACTCAGAAGTTTGCTGAAATGCAAGAGGAGCTGGTGATTGGGCAAAAGGTTTGGTATTGGCGCAAGCATCAACGAAGGCTGCAAAAGTCCGGTTGGCGTGGTCCTGCGAGGATTGTTGCAATAGAAGAGCAGCCAAGTGTCAATGTGTATTGGCTTTGTCATGGCACATCGTTGTTACGTTGTGGTGCACGACAGGTGAGGCCAATGGTTGAAGACACTGGGATGCCGGTTGCATGTGATCGGCAAGCAGCTCTTCGTGACTTGCAAGAGTTGAAAGCCAGGAGCACCACACAGTTCAAGGATGAACTTCGACGCAGTGGCCAGATCGACGAAGCAGATGAGCTTGACGGAGATGATGTTGAGCTTGATGCAGAGTATACACCATCATTGCCAGGAAGTGTTGATGAAGCAGAAGACCCTCGTTCAGATGATGATGCATCAACTGGCAATGCAAAAGAGACAGAAGAGCCCAATGTTCCTGGAGTGATTAGTGTTTTCCTTCCAAGGTTGCAGGCAGAAGATCGAGAGAGAACACCCCGACGTCGTGAGTCGGTGACTACTGCAGCCCCAACAGAGATGGAACATGATACAGCACATGCTCCAGCTCCATCGAGTCCAAAGAGGAAGTCAGAAAATGTTGCTTCTGAAGAGCCACCGGGAAAAGCCATCAGGGCATCCAGTTCAGTGCCTGAGTTTCCTGGCGATCTTGGAGGAGGAAGCATCCCCGTGCCGGACGATGATGATCTGGTGATAGAAGATGTTTTTCTGACACAGCTTCCTGAAGATGTTCCATCAGGATGGCGAATTGTTGATGGTGAACTTGAGATGGACGATGTCTTGATGGCCGCAATTCGCAAAGGTGAGGTCAATGAACGGAAGCTGGATCCTCAGGGCCGAGCTCAGTTTGTTGAAGGCAAACGCAAGGAGCTTGATCAATATTTTAGCAATGCAGTATGGCAGTTTGCAACGACAAGTGAGATTGAAAGTGCCATCAGAACAAAACGTGTGATTTCTGCTCGCTGGGTTCTTACCTGGAAGAAGTTGGAGACAGAAGATGGCATCACCCGTTGGAAGGCCAAGGCCAGATTGGTTTTGCGAGGATTTCAAGATCCTGACATCTTGAACATGAAGACCGCAAGCCCAACTGCCGGTCGAACCAGTCGAACTATGTTGCTGACAGTAGCTGTTTGGATGGAATGGTCAGTGTTTTGTGCTGATGTTCAGGCGGCTTTCTTGTCTGGAAAAGGTTTTGACAGGGTGCTCATTGTCAGGCTGCCAATGGATTGTTTGCCGTTGGTCGATGGAGGACAGCAGAAAGTGTACAAGAAGCACTTGTACATGAAGATGAAGAAGAGTGCGTACGGCTTGTGCGACGCACCGCTGCTATGGTTTCAAGAAGCTGCTTCTAGGCTGACAAAGCGTGGTTGGTTGAGCCACCCACTAGATCAGTGCTGCTTCGTGTTGCCATCCAGCAAGGATCAGAGCTTGACAGGCATGTTGATTTTACATGTTGATGACATGTTGCTGGCTGGAAGCATGCAAGATGCTGAGTTTGCACAGGCAGTTGAGTTCCTTCGCAAAGATTTCAATTTTGGCAAATGGGACGAGTTGACAGAAGATCAGTCGTTGAAGTACTGCGGAGGAACAATCCTGAGGAATCAGCATGGCATTGAGGTCAGCTACGAAGAGTATATCAAGAAGCTCTGTCCGATGACCATCCACAAAGGTCGAAAAGATGAAGACAGTGTGACACCACAAGAGGTCAGTGCAGCTCGTGGCCTCATAGGAGCACTACAGTGGCCTGCAACCCAGGGCATGCCGATCTTGTGCGCTTCGATGAGCATTCAGGCTGGTGAAGTTCCAAAGGGCAAGGTGCTGCATATCCGTGAGTTGAACAAGACATTGCGTTTTGCAAAGTCGAATGCAGCAGTTACATTGAAGTTTCTTGGTTGCCCAGCTGGTGAGAAGAAGCGTGGTCAGGCTAAAAGTCTGAGTGATTTGTGCCTGGTTTGCTATGCAGATGCTGCATTCAGCGTGAGGTCAGATCATACCTCGCAAGGAGGATTCATGATTTTGGCTTGTGAGAAAGGAGTCTTGCAGGGTCAGAAGCGGCCAGCATCCATTGTTGCTTGGAGGTCGTTCAAAGTCCCCAGAGTTTGCAGGAGCTCTTTAGCCGCTGAGTGTCAGGCATGCGCCACAGCCTTGGAGGAGCTCCTCATGGTCAAGACATTTACAGAATGTCTTCGGAGGCCTGGTGTCGCTTTGAAGGACATCAAGGACAGCCTTTCAGGTGAGTCAGCCATGGTGACAGATTGCAAAGCACTCTTTGACGCTGTGCATCGTGAAACGATTCAGCAAGCAGCAGACAAACGTGTTGCAATAGAGGGCTTGGTGATCAAAAGTTTGCTGGCAGATTTACATTGTCAGTGGCGTTGGGTTTCAAGTGAACGCCAATTGTCAGATGGCTTGACAAAGGTTGGAGCTCGACAGAACTTTGTTGAACGATACCGTGGTAGCCACATACAGTTGGTTGCTGATGAAGGGTTCGTTGCTGCAAAGAAGAAGTCAAAGGAGGAGCGAGCAAAGACGATCCGTGAGACTCGCACCACACGTTCTGACATAGCGCAGAGTTTGATTGCGCTGATCATGGCAGATGAGGTGACGAAGGCCGCTGCATCCACTCATGATGACTGGAGTTTCGGTAGCTTTGAGGCCCTCATTGTGTCGAGCATTGTTGGAGCATTGACATTGTTGTGGTTCCTTGGTCGGCTTGTGTTTTCGTGTTGCCCCACCAGAGGTGAGACGCAGTCCAAGGCAGATGAAGAGATCGCCCGACTCAAGCTGGAACTCCATGAGCTTGAGGATGAAATGGAGCGAGAGCGTGAAAGCATCTTGAAGGATCTGGAGAGAGAAGAAAAGAAGAACCATGATTTGAGACAGGAAAACCTCCGGCTTCAAGGTGAGCTGATGTTGGCGAATGAAGCAGTGCAGCTGTTGAGGACTGGTGCTGTTTCAGGACCTGCAGTCATGACAGCTCCAGGGCCGATCTACGTGACTCCCTCCGGTGAATGCTGGCATCGAACTCGCACATGTGGTGGGTCGAACAGTGTCTGCAAAAGACCATGCAACAGGTGCAATCCTGGCTAAGCTCCCACCGATGTGAGTTTTCGGCACGAAACCTTTGAGACGATCGATCGATGCTGATGTGTTTTCACTTGTGATTGTGCGCTCAAGCAAGGGCGGGCGCGCGCATAGCTAGAGCCAATCCGGATACGCCTTCGGAAAATCATGTGCGCTTGAGAGGTGCATTTCGGTTCCTGAACTTCGTGTGTCAAGGGATCATTTGTTGGGAGGCTTCTAGAGCAGTCTCGATCGTTGCCCCCCCCGCAAGAAGCGACAGCTGGTGCTACCCACCCTGGCAGCCGATTCCGATTTCCACGGCAACCGCTGCGGCGCCTTCGGCCGGCCGCTGCGGCGCCAGGTGAGTTGGCGGGCTACATCAAAGATGGCCAGAACAGCTTGCCCGAGGAGAGGCTGTGCTCCTGCGACCCGAGAAGAAAGCAAAATTGAAGAACTGCCGTTGTCTGTTGCGAAGAACACAGGCCGCGGTGTCGACTGGCGCGGCCAAGCACCTCATTAGGTTGAACCAGATGTGAATGGAAGCGAAGATATATAGTATACAGAGAACTTGATAGAAATTGTATAAGACTTGTTGACTCGTTTAAGGTTTTCTGTGTGTGAAGGAAGGGCCGTTGGCTCTTGCTCCCAACTTGAGAAGGGCAGAAGGCCGTCGCCGTCGCCCCCGCTGTCGCGGTCTTCTCCGGAGTCGGTTGGCCGCCGCTGCAGCACGCAGGACGTGGTGAAGAGCGTGGCGAAGCAGACCGCGGCGGGGTTGAAGTTCATCCACGACAAGGACGTGGTGCATCGCGACTTGAAGGCGGAGAACATCTTGGCCCCTCGGAGGAAGGTTTCGGACGGGGTCGGAGGTGCCCGTCGAAGCTCCGCAAGGAACGACTGCTGCTTGTTACCGAACGTAGTAAGAAGCGCCACGTTCTTTTTTCTCGTGCGCCTCGCTCCGTGTCGCTCGCGGCGATCAACGCTCGCTCCGTTCGTCGCTCCCACCGCACTGACCGCACTGAGGTCTGTGCACAGCAGATCACTGCCACGACTCCCGTCCCGTGGTGAGCACCGTGCCGTTCGGTGTGGAGGACGAGTCGGAGGACGGTCGGCGACCTGTTCGGTCAAAGCCAACCACATCCAACGACCGAAGACGAAAAATACACTTAACAAGAAGGGTTGGGTCCTGGGTGTGTTTTTCCGAAAGGGTGGTCACCTCTATGGGGAAGATGAACTCTCGCACCAGTGCTTGCGTGGTCGCAAGTGTCAAACGCACTTGCCAAAAGGAACTAGATGTGGCAGGGCACCAAAACCAGGGAAGGATATTTGGGTTTGGAACCAACCCGATAAGGAAGGCGTCTCAAGTAAGTCGTGTCCCAAAGTCTCGACAGTGGTGTTTTGCAGACACTCAAACAAACTAATGAAATGCAAGCAATAGGGGTGATGCAAACCATCACTCCTGACACTGCAATGTTTGGTGATCCACTAGCTGCCTGGGGCGCCTCTTATTGAACAGAATGGATGAACAGAAGCATTGAATGCTTTTGCTCAACACCATTCCAGAAAGATCCAGAAAGCATGAGCAACATGTTTTCATGATAGAGACGCTGGCGTCAATGTTGCACACCAATGTGACATACCAATCGAGTAGAGATGGGAAAACGCCTGGGAGAAGACAACAATCGAAAAAGGACAGTTGAAAAACGGCCATGCAAGAATTGAGAACTTATCCAGTTGGTAGCTGTGTGGGACACAAGGACGCGAGACAGCAAAAATCACCGAAGCGGGGCTTTTTGCGGGCGTAGGTCCAGTGGATTTGCGGTACTGTACCCTTGGATGCCTGGGACTGTTTGCCAAGCTGGTTGAGATGCTTGATGTTGGCCAAGCAGCTCATCATCATGTTATAGTCATAGTCCTTGACTCGATTGTTTGTTATTCCTTCATTGACCCAATGGACTTGAGGCCAGCGGTAAACGAACACCAGGTGAATCATGAACGATGTGTCTAGTGGTGTCAGTCCCCAGTGGTTACCTAAGTTCTTCTACGCGCCTCTGCAACCAATTCGGGTTTGTTTAACTCCCAGCAAGACACGGCCATAAATTAGAAGGTACCCCATCTGAATCTTCACACGTGCTACCGCAAGACTTTTTCAAAGAGAACGACACATTTTCTCCACAAAGAGGAAACAACATTTTAGTCCAAGATGTTCTACTAAGACCTTGCAAAAATCCCCTAGAAGACCTGAATACTGTGTTCCCCAAGTCCCGTTTGGGAGAGGCTGAACGTTTCAAGAGATTTGATCAGCGTTCCGTGCTCAAGGCACCGATCCACATGTGCTAACGCGTTTGAACGTTCGTGGAACTGTCGTTTGGAACCGTCGTTTGGAACGCTGCAGGTGAAGCTGATCGACTTCGGCGTGGCCAAGAGCCTGTCGGGCACCATCGCGCGCAGCTGCGTGGGCACCACCGAGATCATGGCGCCGGAGCTGGTGAGTGCCAAGCTGATGATCGCCCCGAAGGGCGCCTCCATGAAGAAGCACGGACCATACACCTTCAAGAGCCCACAGGAGGGTGTACACAGGGTGCGGAGGGTGGGGGGGGGGGCAGGGTGTCAACGGGGTGTAAACGGAAAGAAGAACACACGTGCAGTCAGGTGTCGCAAGTGTGGCCCTTGGGGTGGCCCTTGGGCCGAGTTGGGTGGGATTTTCGGTTGGATTTGTTCCTCCAAGCAGCTTACTGTTGGGGTTCTCTTTTGGGACGGAAACCATGGCCAAGACTCCTGCTGAAACTGTTTGGGGCTCTATGCTCTAATGGTGATGAGCGTTTCGGAAGGGCAAGGGACCTCCAATACAGCCTACGCACCGCTCTCACAACAAAACCCCCTACAACCTTGTAAGTCATTTTGGGGCGCATGACCACCACTCACCAAGATACCTCTGACGAACTGCCGCGACAATGCTGCAGTTGAACGTGTCGTGATATGTTTGTTTTGTTAGGGCATGCGCGTGCAAACAGCCGCAACAACACCAACATGTGGTTCAGTGCAGGACCGCAGGATGGATCCATCCATCCTTTTTCTCTTCCCCCCCTTTTTTCCCACCGAACCTTCTTCTCTTCGCTTCCAACCAAAGCCCCACCGACAAACCGCGTCGTCACCGGACCTCGTTCTTCGGGTCTTCCAGGAGGCGTCCCCGGGCTTCGGCATCGTGACGCAGCGCCCGGATGGGAAGGGCGCCATGGTGAACGGCATCGAGCCCGGAGGCGATGTGTTTTTTTTCCACCAAACTAAGCAACATCAGAGAAACGGGAACCGACATATAGTTCATCTATGTTCAGTTTTACATTTATTTTCTTTTATTTTTTGTCAGGTTACACCAAAAGCTGCTTGATGGCAGGTGTCTTGTTGCTGCATGTTCCGGTTCCATCGAAGTCCGCTCCATCCTGCGAGGCCAGGCTGCCGGCTTCAACGTGGGCGACGGCTGGGCGATCTCCTCCATCAACGGCACTGAGATTTTGGAGATGCCTTTCGTCAAGGAGATTTTTGGGGCGAACTCCTCTCAGAATTTGGGTGTGGTTCGGATGGTGTGGAGGGCGGGTTTGTTGGGTCACGTGTTGTGAGCGTTGTGTGTGGTGTGGTGTGGTGTGGAGGTCGTTGCGGACTGCAGCGGAAAGCTTTCATACAAGATTTCTTTTTGGTGGCTGAGAAGTGGGAAGGATGAAGCGACTCATGGCATATGGTGTTTATCCGATAATCTCAGCCCGGACGGACATTTCGATAGGACATCTCGAAGGGCGGATTCCACACATCTTTGATACAACACGTGGTGATACGTGAACGCTTCTTTCTTTCCATCAACTGACTAAGACCCTACTGCAATTATATGTTCCTGTTTTGTTCTCCAACTGGAAGGGGATGATGATTTTTCCATGATGTCAAGTCCAAAGATGGCGACGAGGACCAACTCCAGGACTTTCTCCCCGTCGCCGTCGCCTCTCACCGTCGCCAATGCCCCTGACTCGCCTGACTCGCCCACGCCCTCGCCGTCCGCAGGACTTCAACGAGCTGGGCGCCGGAACCAAGGTGCCACCGGACCCGTCGGCGGCGCCGCGGCGCCGCGGCGGACCGGCGGTGGGGTGATGAGAGACTGAAGGGCGAAGGCTGAAGGGCGAAGAGGCTGCAAAAAGACTGCTCAGAGTGCTCAGAGTGCTAAGAGCTTGGTGAGTGGATCGGTGAGTTGGGGGCAGCGACCAACACCAGGCGGGCGTGACGGCCATCGCAGAGATCCTCGGGAACCTGAACGGCCCCTTCACCTGCGAGTTCGTGGAGCTACCAAAGCGAGAGTTCACCAAGGCGCACAGAGGACCGGAATGAGACCACACGGACGATGCGGGGTCCGATGGATGCGGGGCTTAACCCGCCAGGAGGCATCCTGGCAGGTTTCGGAGGGGCTTTGGAGGGGTTCCATTTCGTCGAGAGGGTGTGTGGCAGTGGGGAATTTCATGGTTCTTTCGGGTCACGGATGCAGCGAGATGCAAAACAAACGCGACCCACCCTGGGGTGCTTGGGGGCGCGGTGACTCGATGGCCAAATGCCCCAAAGACATTTTCTCAAGCTGTCCCACTTCAACACTGGTGAGTTTCACTTCAAAAGGGCACTGCAAGTCATTGCAGTGAGCACTGTGTTTGGCCAAACGACTGGGAGCTTTCCTTTTGAGATCGGGCTGTTCGACCAGTCGTTCGAGTGACTTGGACTGACCTCCTTTCGGGTCCACTGATCTTCGGTCAGACGGGTCGAGTCTCCACTCGTGGAGGCAGGGGTCGGTGGGTTCGATTGACGATCGCGGCCTATGTGTCCGTATGGTTCGAGCTGGTTTGGGAGGTTCGAGTTGTCGCGATGGGCTCTGTTCTTTTTTGGGGGTTTGGGTGTCCTGGGCTCGAATGAGCTTCCATGGGTCTGTTGGGAGGGGGATATCGGCGCCGGCCAGATGCCCCAAACACCGCTCGCTGCGCGACTCGACGTTCGAACCTCCGGTCCCCCCCAGTGGGGTCGGGCCGGTCCAGCTCAGGCGTGAACTCCACAGCGCAGGTGATCACCTCAGAAAGCCATTTGGGGAGACACTTTTCAACAACAACAAAGAAGGGGGGATCCAAGACTGGAATGGTGTCAACCCCCCAAACCATTCCATTCCGAACTTGAGCGTCCGGGGGAATCCACTTGGGGAAAGAAACCGCCGGAGTGTGGGGATCCACTTCACCCAGCGGTGGAGTCACCGTCGGAGCGAACTCCACTCGTCCGACGAGCGGATCGCCGACAGTCGGTGGATCTGTGGAGCCTGGGCGTGACGATGTACGTGATGCTCACGGGTGTGAAGCCTTTCACGGAGCCAAGCCCGGTTGAGCGGAGAGTGAGTTGGGTGGGCTGGAGAGTGGTTGAAAGGGGAGAAGGGCTGGGGAGAAGGAGAGAAGGAGCTGGTGAGCTGGTGTGTTTTTTGCACGTTGTTCTTTCACAAAGCTTGGTTGAGCCAAGGATATGGGGTTGAGAATAAGGTTTCGTAGGTTTCAGAGAGGTATTTGTCAATTGTTTTCTGGTCAAATGCTTGCAAGAGACTGGTGTGAGAATGCAACCTTTGGACACCCCGGGAAAGTTGTATGACAGATAGTTCAAAGTCGTGACATAGAACGGAGGAGATTCAAAACTGGATCACCCTGAATCACAAACAAACCAATGAATCGAAGGACCTTGGTCTCTTGCTCCTTCAAGTGTATTGCATGGGCATCACGATCAGTTTCGCATGTTCTGGGAATTGTTGGCGCGCCATGTGCGCAACTCACGCTGTGGGCCGTGGGGAAGGAATTCTCTGCCAGTTCTACCAATATGTTGCACATGTTTTGGATGGCGAACTAGCCGCTTGGCTCGCCAGCCACAGCCCTTCGGAGTGTCTTTTGCTTCGCTTCTGGGAGAACGCTGCACTGCCAAGAGAGTCCTTAGAGGTCAACCCACTGTATTGCGCCGAAGATCCTTTTCAAAGCTGGTTTTCTATTGGACCAATTCAATTGGTTCTGGCAAGGTCCTCCATGTACGGTCTCTTAGAGTTCTTCTACTTTCAATAGTCATCATTGTTTGTGGGGGTTGACCACCTTGTGTCTTTGTGGGACCACTTCGCCGTCCCTCGGAAGGCGCTTTCCTTCATCGAAGACGGTCCTTCATCGCCCGCTTCCCACGGCAAACCGATTCCTGCGCTGTCCAGGAGGAGGCCAAGATCGTGGATGGTGAGTATGATCCTAGCCTGTTGAACCGCTGCTCCCCACAGGCCCAGGAGCGACCCGACCCGCCGGTTCCACCGGTCGCGTTCCCTTGTTGATGGGAGTGAGCGACCCACCGTTCCGCGCTTGACGCGGAAACGCTGAAGGCTTGGAAAAGTCAGGACTGATCACTCGAGACTGGATCTTTTGAAACATGATCTGCTTCTGATTCAAAAGATCCAGTCTAGAAGAAAGCTCGTCAGGGTCCCCAACAACACACACACTTGCGCAATCGAGCCGCCCCAACCAAAATCGGCGGTCAGACCTGCAGAGGAGGACCTCATCAGGGTGCCCCAACCCAAATCCATTTTGGGCGCATGCTTTCTCCGCCGCGTGCTTTCTCCTTGCGCGTTCGGAGCTCTCGGGCGATCCGTCGACCGTTCGGACCCTCGGTTGAACCGGTTCTCCCCTGGAGGCGTCGGACTCCGCGCCGCGCCGCGCGACTCCTCGCCGCGCAGGACCTGGTCCGAAGCCTCCTCAAGGTGAACCCGGCGGAGCGACCGACCATCGACCAGGCGAGGTCGAGGTGGTGTGACGGTCTCGGTGCTAGAGGCGGGAAAATGGTGGCGGGGATGTGGCAGGTTGTTTGTTTGTTTTTTTTGTTTCGCGGAAAAAAGAACACAAAAGAGTTGGCGTTTTTATTCTTCATCCTTTCGAGTTTTTGGAGTGATGACAGGTTTCTTGTGATTGGCTGTTGAGATCAGCTAGAAATGCAGGTGGGAAGAACAGAGTTTCCCAAAGGATGTGGAGAGTTCTGGCATAGGCGGAAGACACACGGAGAGGGCAGTAGAGCGGGTACGAGCTACGAAAGAAAACAAGTCGTTTTTCAACCGATGTCTTCCCACCCAACCGATGTTGCTATCAGGTTCTGGCACACCCCTTCTTGCAGTAGATGAATCCGATGAGCACAGGCGTGGTGGCGGGATTGGAGGTGGACGACAACTCTGTGGATAGACTGGGATTCTTTTCCAGAACCAGTTCTTGCGCAGCATAGATGAGGGGTCCATATGAACCATGAACCACTTGATTCCTTCTTTTCTGTGATAGGCATTTTCAGATACCAAGGGTCCTGGCAGGGTCTGACAACTTTCATTCCGGTGATGTTGTTTTGCATCGAAAGTGCCCACATGAAAGTGCCGCAGTCCCCCGCATTTTTACATTGCCCTGGCGACGTGGATGGAACACCAAAGTAGAGTGACCAAAATGCGGACCTAAAAGTTCAGACGAGTTTCTGTGACTTACGAGGATGAATTGTAAGCCTTCACTTCACTCGCTCCATGTGTTTTAATATGTTTAGCAGCGGCACATGGGTGGAGGGATCTTCCTCCGTGAATTCCAAGGTCGGATTTTGGGTCAGTGCTAGAGAAAGCCAATGCCTCAGGGTTTCTGAACCACCCCTTCCTTTGCGACTTAAAGACCAGTTTGAGAGTGGACGGACCTCGGCCTTTAAAGCGAGCCCTGGCACCGGGGCCACCCGTGGCATCGCTTGGGGGATGGGCAAACATGCACCGTGTAACAGGGTTCCAAGAGGCGGAATGTCACCCCTCCGGTTCGGTGGTGTCCACGGCAATCCGTAGAGAGCTCACCCGGGTGACGAGTCTGTGGTGAACGGGGTTCCATGAAATGTCCCGAGTCTGTGGTGAGACGGACACTGTGGGACTCCTGTGGACACAGTTCGTGTTTGGACATCCCCGAGTCGAGAGTATTCCACGTGGTCGAAGACTGCTCGTTCGATGCAACGCACCTGGAGAACCGTTCGCTGCGCGTCTCCCCGCGAGGACGCGTGGAGTGCGTCGCGGTCAGCCCAGGTCCGACCCAATAGAACTCCGAGCCTCTGAGCCTCTGAGCTTGATCCTTTTGACTTAGAAATGGTGGAAATCCTTCTTCGATACGGAACTCGGGAGACGTTCAACTCACTCACAACACGAAGCGAACAGACGAGAGACGGAACAGAGAAGCCATGTCGGAGGAGAGCAGGTCACTCTTCAACCCCGAAACACTGTCTGCAACCAAAAGTCGAGCAGTGAACTTTCGTAGCCCAAGTCGTCCGTTTGGAATCTCGGCACTCCAGAAAACCATTCTCAAAATACAAACAATTCTCCCAAATGGAAGTCGACGTTGAGAGCTTCGTCGAACGAGTTCCGGATTTTCTCAGTTTTCCACGATCGGCGCTTTTTACAAAAAGAGGGGCGGCCGCCGCGACGCCTCCGCGAACGCGACCGGGAGCGCCTCCGCGACCGGGGAGGGGCCGGCGGACAGGGTCGGGTCGGCGTCTCCATCAGCACGTTGGGATCCTGGTCTTCCCCCTTTTTCGACCATTCGAAGTGGAGGTGGCGTCCTTCGAGGTTCATGTTTTTCACCTGTTACCTGTCTTTCGGAAGGGAAAGGCGTTGTTCAACCGAAAAGGACTGTGGTTTGTGTGCACACGGTTTCTGGCCGAATCATGCACGATGACATGGAAATAGTGAAGGATCACACCCCAAAGCTGAGGAAGTGGAAAAGGAGTGAGGCAGGACCTAGGACCTATAGGACCAGTTTTTCTTGTTCTTGGCCCAACAACCCCCCAAAATCAGAACCACAGGGAAACGCACGTGAGAGAGTTCATAGCATTTCTGCAGCCGTATTTGGAAGGCGTTGTTGTGATTTTGCCGGATGGATCAGGGTCGAAGTAAACGACTGGTGTGGGTTTCGACACGACCACCTGATGAACATGAGGACGTTTTCTTCTCGTTCCCCTTGGGGATTCGAAGCATCTGCACTTGGGGTGGCATCATCAGCACCTTCCAAAAGCCATCGGACAGCTCAAAATCACTGGCCATACCGGTGTCAAGACCGGAGGCCCTATGGATCATACCATACGGTCATTGGTTTTCTCCCGCCATCAATCATCTCCTTCCTGACCGGAGGAGGAATGGGCCCTCTTCTCTGTGATCCCTCTGAGGTGGACCGGATCGATCCCGCACCCAGGTGATGGACTCGACCTCCGTCGCGAGCGTCGTGCAGGCGCGGTGCGCGCGGTGCGGTGGGGACGAGAGCCGAGGAGAGTTCTCGCCGGTCCGGGCACAGGTGGAGTGGATTGAGCTCTAAAGGGGCAGGCCGCCGGCCATTAGGAGTCGTTACTGATTAGCTTCGTGTGATTAGTAGTAATGCCAGGTGCCAGGAGCTACGTTCGTAGCTTCTGGCTCCTAGCAGCGATGCCCTTTAGTTACTGATTAGCTATCTAAGTGCCATTTGCTCCAGGAAAAGAGGATCAGAATATCTAAGATTTCTTATCATCTGTAATGTACATGGTACAGAAACATGATGGTGGCGCATTCACGTGTGTGACATTGTGGGTTGTCTTTCTTGTTTTGGGAGTAGGGGCGTTGCATGATGCCGATGCGCTGGGATGAACTCTTGGATTGGAAGCGTTGTGCCCAAGAGCAGCGGATACCAACCATCAAACCAACCATGCAAACCTACGCAACACCAGCGCAACCACTTCTTAGAATGCTGTGAGCAGATGGTTTTCGACTTATGCTGAACTTGGCATGAGCTCGCAACACGTGAGGGGAAAACCACCGTTTGACCCATGGCATGAAACAGCAACAGCCAACAGCCAACTCCCAACCGCCAACGAAGGGTGGACCATCTGCCGACCCGACCCGACTCGGCTCGTCTCTTTGGGCCCGATCTCCGGGACCCGATGGCTGCCGGCTATAAGCCGGGCGATGCGGCAGCGGAAAGCGAGGAGACGGCACCAGTAGACCGGCTTCAACAGACTTGGATGGAACAAGTCTGAAACAGCCACTAGATAGAGCTTGTAGAGCTTGTACAGAAAACATTGGGTGGCTTGTGAGGTTGGGGTCTAGCTTCCGAGGCAGCGACTATTCATTCAGGATTGTTTATAGAATTGAAATTGACACACTGCAGAAGCCTTTTTGGGTTCGATTCTCACATTCCCCATCCAAACTGGGGGCACCAGGCCTTGCAAAAACGGCTCAACTGCTTGTGGCTGTTGGTGGACACTGGAACTTGGAACATCAACGATGCATGACAATGCTCCTGTTGTATTGATATGATATGATACATACTGTTGGGGGAAGAGCGTTGAGGGCAACCCGCATGGCTGTCTCCGGGTGAGCAGGGTAGGATGTAGCCTATTACCTGTAACAGTTGGTAAACAAAATTATTATCCCTGTCACTAATTATATTATCTCTATATATTTTAGAGAAAGGCCTGCAACTGAACCATCATCCACTAAAACCAGGGAATAGGATAGACTCGGATAGACCCAATGTCTATCAACCAAACCAATGTGGCCCGGTGGGAGATGCTTTTTTCAGGCCCCGGGGCCTCACCGGATGAGCGAACGTCGCCTCTTCCGCGCTGTCATTGAGGAGCCTCTTCCGCGCTTCCGCGATCTGCTGGAGCTGTCGGCCGAAGGGAAGAAGGCCATGGAAAGCTTCGGCTACGAACGCATGTGTCTCGGTGGAGGTGTGGACGTCCGCTGCAAGACATCTGTTGGAGCTCAAGGACATGATCTCGGACGCCTGACAAAGATCTCGATCAGCTGGTGCCCGTCTTCGCAAGACACATCACACCAGAACAAAATACGATCAAACCCCAAACTGGAAGACCTCCAAAAATCCTTTCGAGTTTGCTCTTCGGTCTTCGTCTTCGGTCCCTCTTCGCGAAGACCGAGACCGAGGACCGCCGTGCAGCGGCGGAGCTTCGGCCCGATCCTGGGCGGCGGCGAGTTGCTGGCGCGGGCGAAGACGGGCAGTGGCAAGACGTGGCTCGGGCAGTCGGCGAGGGCGCTACGTCGGCGCGCGCGGTGGGTGTAGGAGGGGTCAGCAGATTCTTTGTTTGGTGTAGGAGGGGTCTTTTATCGAATCCAAGAGTTTCGTGGAGGACTTGGGTGGGGGTCCCTGACCATTCTTGGAATGTCTTATTTTGAGCACTCGGTTTTTCTTTTTTCCGCTTCATGATGATGGCATCTGTTTTTGTCGTCGCCACAGGCATCGTGATCGGATCGGCTGATGTCACAGAAGGCCGGAGCTCGTTGGACTTTGAGCGAACCCAGAAAAAGAATCACAAGATAGAAGGCATTGAGCTTGACACCAGCGACATCTCTGGCATGTATTCAGGGGCGACTAAGCTCGGGCAGTGGTGTACTCAACGACATGGAGAGCAACGCAAGACCGGCAAGACCCAAAAATCACAGGAGACCTGTTTTTAGGTCGCCAAGCCCACAACTCCATGCATGCGGAAAGACCAGAACACCTGTCAGTGTTGCCTTTAAAGAATTGGAGAAGCCTTTGGAGGGGGTTCCCTGCTGCGAATGGAGTTGAGGTTGAGTTTTCTGCTCCCGGCCGTGGAGAGGAGCCGGATTTTCCTCTGGGAGCTTCGTCGGAGGGGAGGATGTTGCTTTTCCACTGGACATGTCGACCTGAAGGAAAGGAACGACATGTGCCCCACAGTGGTTGATTACCGGTTGATTCGATCTTTGATCGTGAAAGATGGGCAGCTCCAAAGCAGCGAGAAGCAAGACCGGTGAGGCCCGCGGGGCACAAGAAATGGCAAGGAATGGTATTTGATTGGACCCTGCGTTCAGTAGGGGCCGTACCCTCATATGGAGGGGTCCGGACCCGAACCAATCCCTATGGGTTTTTATGGGTTTTGAGGCCTGTTTGGAGCGTTTGGGTAGAAGCATTTCAACAATCTCCACCAGTTCTTGGATTCATCGGTTCTTGCTTCTGACGGAGGATCCATCGGCAGCTAGATGGGGAAGTGCAACCAGGCTGGAATGGAACAGCTGCTTTCCGAATGTTCCGGCACTATCCGGCACTGAAGGTTGCTCTACTCAGCATGCATCAAATCGTCTTCTGTCACTAGTTCTTTAACAAAGCTGCTGAAGCATCAATTCTGGACCGAACCCTGAGAACGAAAATGAAGGTCACGTATATTTTTGGTTCATCCCTCTCAGCCCCAGATCCAATTGGGATGGACCCGAGGCCGTCATTTTGGGCCTTCTAGTAGCTTTGTCACGAAGAACGCCGCAGGTGGTGTGGTGATGCTCGTCTTGACACCGGTCAGAGAGCTTTCCATGCAGGCCACGGTTGCGTCGGAACAGCCGGAACCCCCACACTCTTCCGTCCGTGTTTGGCTTGGCCTGGCCTGCCTGGCCGGTTGGTAAAACGGGTTCGGAGCATGGTGACAGGGTGAGTGGACTGTGTGAGTTCTTGGGATCCTTGTTACTGGATGTTACGTTCGTAGCTTCTTGTTACGTTCGTAGCGATGGCCTCCAACCTGGTAGCTTCTTGCTACTGGGTGATGATGGACAGTGGGTTATCATGGATAAGTCATTTGTGGCGAAACGTCCAGACATTGCACGGAGGTCTCACTCAATGAGCCTTAGCAAAAGACTCACGATCTCGTCGCCCGGCTGCCACCTGGTCTAGGTGGCAAAAGAGGCCGAGAAGCTCACCAGTTTCTATGGCAGCTGCCGAAGCTTGGCTGTTCACCCCTCTTCTCGCTGGGACGGGGTTCATGGGAGGGGACGTGGATCCATTGGCCCTCCCGAAAACTGACCTCACACGGACCCGGGTCGACTAGTGAGGACCAGAGGTCCACATGGCTTTCCTCTACCAATCAGTGGTGTAGGACCAGAGGTCCATGACATCGTCTTCGACTGACTCCACACGCACCGACCGACTGCGCTGGACCCCGTCCCCGTCCCGAGCGGTTTCGCTCCGTCGACCGTTTCTCCGAAGCATTTGGACGCGCGTGTTCTCCGTCCATTGGGCGCACGACGCCGCAACGCGGCTGATCTTTCCGCTGATCTTCCGAACATTCGCAGCGAAGGCTATGTTCCTTTTGGGGGCACGCGGTACTACATCAGACGGGTGGTGCTGGTGCTGGAAGAAGCGGTGATGCTTCCTTCCCCGAAGGCTTTAAGAAGACACATGTCCAAAACCCTGTGCAAATCTTTTGCTCGGGTTGACTTGCCACTTTGGCTGCCCCGTCTCAAGATCAAGAACTTGTAACGCGAATTTCTGTGAACTGCTCCGCCGAACAACGTTGTCCGGAGTTCACCGGCCACCGGACCCACCGTTGGACGGATCGCCCGGTGACCTGCACGACCGGTGCGACTGCGCCGATGATGGACCCATACGTCCGACGGACGAGGTATGGTGTGCATGACTGGTGGAGTGCCCTGGGAGGAGGACCTGGGGCCCGCGGGAGGAGGGCGGGTGGCCGGGTCGCCGGCGGGTGGGCATCGTGGGTGGCACAGGGGTTCGGAGCTTCATCCCTTTCCAGTCTTCCGGCAGCTGGGTCCCTGTCGTTGGATCCTGCTGGCCGGAGGCGACTGGAATGGGATCCAGATGGTCTCCCGTACGGGCCTGCCCGGGACCCCCCCTGGTAGGTTGACACTCGTCTGGTGAAGTTTGTTTGGTGAGACAAGGCCACCATTTCCAACCCACGTGTTCATCTCGTTCTCCTGGGGGTTTCTTGCTGTATTCTTGCTGTATTGGTTCGGATCTGCGGCGGCTGCGGGGAAAAAAAAGGTGGAACTGTGAGCGATTCCACCACACGTGTGGAACGGGAGTCCATGGAGACTCATTGAGGCGAGGCGAGACTCGCAAAGTGTCACGTCCGACGACTCTCGCACAAAAGCCCACAAGGTCACAGACGTGGCACTTGCACCGATGTGTTTCATTGATAGTAAATAGGTGGTCTAAAACCTGCATCGCTCCCTGGTTTGCACGTTCGGTGCAAGGTTTGAGCAGATGTTTGCGGTTTCCAAGCACCGGCAGAGCTGTTGGGCAGGGGTGGTACTGTTCGTGCAAACGGATGGCGAGAGCGAACCACATGTTTGACAGTGGGCCGAGCTGAACCGTCCAAGCTGAAGAAGACCGTAGGACCAAGGCAACAAAGATGTTCCGAGGAAAAGGGGACCCAGCAAAGTTGGTCTTGTGGCCTTTGCTGTTGCTGTCTTTCCTGTGGTTTTGATGTATTCTTTTTCACGCTGTGCGACGCGCAGTTCCCCATATATCCCTAGATGCAGCCACATGAATCACCACCCACATCCCTCGAAGTCCAACTACCATTTTTTAAGAATAGCCTTGACCGAACAACCACTGCTTTACTCTTTACACAACAAAACCAGATCAACAATTTTAAGAATGGTCGACTGGACTTCCAGGGATTTTAGTTGAACAGTTGAGATATAGCGCGGGGCCAAGCTAAGAACCCCGTGTCGAAGGCCAGGAAAGGCCGACACGACACGGTTGGGGGGACTTGGGTTCAAGCAGGATTGCACTGACGCCGAATGGAGTCTTGAGGGAATTCATCAAAGGTGCCCGGCGTTGCGTGGGATAGAAATGAGAAGAAGTGGAGAGTGCGCCTGAGTAAGGGCCCCATTTCGAGCCTGATCGCCCCCCCCCCAATTGGTTGTGAACAGGCGTCGGAAAGCAAAAAGCAAAACATCGGCAGGTTTGCGACATAGTTAGAAGCCGAGAGCAAGATGCACAAAGTCTTGGAGGAACAGTCGAAGGCCTTAAAAAACACACACACACACAGGGAAAGTGACCAAATGATATGTATTTGTTGCCACAGGTTGACGCAGAGGACTCTCCACAAATTGAACCACACCCAAAGCCTGGGCGACGCTTTCATCGTCCACTGCCACCGCGCACCTCGCGGCGCGTTTGGTTTTGCAATGTCAGGTTCGACAAGCTGTGCCAGCAATTGGCCGCCGTCGTGATCTGCATGGACTTGACAAAGGGTGACCATGGTATACTCTACTAGATACTTTGTGATTTTCGTGCATGTTGGGCTTCTGATTGTGAACAGATCAACCAGGGCTGGATTTGGCCCAAGATGAGCCAGTTGAAGGCATTACTCACTGTGTGGATATCTGTATATGTATATATATATATGTGAATCGTGACATGGCCGTATGAACCGCAGGAACCCGATTGCTCAGGCATAAAACGGGCGCCGGTGCGATGCCCCGGGTGGGGCTACCGCTGCTACATTGGTAGCGGAGCCCCACCCGGGGCAATAGAGTGACCGCGGCTGGTCACGGCGACATGGCGTCATCTTCAGACCAAGGTCTGAAGAGGTTCGGTGGCGAAGAAGAGGATCCTGGTAAACAGCTGAAGAAATGGAGGACCTGGGCTCTGGCCAAAATGATGACATTTAAGGATTTCAAGAAAGAGTCCAGGGGACCATGGCTGTTGACACTCCTCGACGGCAAAGCATGGGATGCTGTGGAGCATCTTTCGTTGACAGAGCTCGCCACCGCCGACGGCGAGCGAATGCTGTGGGAGACCCTCAGCGATCGGTTCCCAGAGAAGGAACAGCATGATGTGATGGGAGAAGTGTTGGGGGATGTGTTCGGCCTGGTGGCCGCAGAAGGAGAGTCCATGAAGGTGTGGACCGCAAGGGTCAAAGAGACAATTGACATTTGCAAACGCAAAGCATCAGTGGAGTTCCCTCCAGCCGCTCGAGGCTGGGTCGCCTTGCATTGTGCTGGATTGAATGAAGAGCAAAAGGCCATCGTGAAGGCCAAGACACAGGGCAGCTTAGATCATGATGCGGTCTCGGCCGCTCTTCGTTCGTGCTTTCCACTGTATAAAGCCTCTGCAGCTCGCAAGAAGAGTGCCTCCGTGTTCCAAGCTGAACTCGTCACAGGTGAAGATGCCCTTCCTGCTGAAGAAGAGGACAACCAGTTCCAGGATGTCGAGGCCTTTTTGGGTGATCATGATGTTGAACCCAGTTTTCACGATGATCTGGTGCTTTCAGAAAGTGAAGCAGCCGAGGCCTTGGCGGTGAGCTGGAAGGAGAGACGCAAGGAGATTGCGAAGGTCCAACAGTCACGACAGTTTGGGTCGGTCTCTTCATCCTCGACAACTGGCACGGCTCGACGACAGTTTCGAGTACAGGTTGAGGAGCTGAAGAAACGTACCAAGTGCCGCCGATGCGGCAAGATTGGTCACTGGCAGAAAGAGTGCAAGGAGACAATCAAGCCTTCTCCAACGACTGGGGTCAGCTATGTGGAAGCCACTTCAAGTGACACTCTCGCGCCGGCCTTTGTTGGAATGACTGAGTGTTTGTCTGCTACAGAGAGCTTGCATGCATCCCTGATTTCGTCGCCGGGGTACGGCATTGTTGATTCGGGGTGCGGTCGTACATTGATCGGACGCAGTACATTGCAGCAGTTGGAGAGCATGATTGTTGACAAGGGCTATGCCAAGCCTGTCCGTTATGCTACAGAGAACACCTTTCGCTTCGGCAACGGTGCAGTGGAAACGTCAACTGAGGCTGCTCGAATTCCTGTTGGCATTGGTTCCCAATATGGCATCATCGACGCTGCAGTGATTGCCGGAAGCGCTCCGTTGCTTCTGGGACGTCCGACATTGCAACGTCTGCAGGCTCAGCTGGACTTCTCTGCTGGGAAAATGACCGTGTGTGGCAAGGTGACAGACATGATCACCAATGAAGCAGGACAACTGTTGGTTCACATCCTCTCGTATCCGCCCAACAAGCTTAGTGCACCTGCAGCTACTCCGCAGATTGAGCCCAAAGTGAAAGCAAAGTCCATTGAGCTGGACTCCAAGGCTGGAAGTGTGAAAACAAAAATCACCCTCAAGAAAAAGGAATGTCGGTGTTTGTTGGCTCAAACCAATCGATCCGAAGCTCGCTCGCAGTCTCGCATTCTTGTCGCTGAGCTTTTCTCACCCCCAAGATTTGCTACAGTAGCTAAAAGTTGGGGACATGAAGGCCTGTCGTTCGACATACTCCAGGGTTGGGACTTGGAGGATCCACGAATTCAAGAGAAAGTCGATCGAATGTTAGATGAGGCTGCACCAGCATTGTTGGTTGTGTGCCCTGAGTGCAAGCATCGAGGTGGATGGGACCACCTCAACCGACGCTTTCGCACTCCACTCGAACAAGCTCGCCTGATCCAGAAGTCCCGTCGGCAAATTCGTTTCTGTGTGCAACAGGTACATAAGCAGATCAAACGTGGGGGAGATTTCATTTGGGAACACCCACTGGGATCCGAGATTTGGGAAGAACCCCTGGTCAAACCCCTGAAACGAAAGTATGGACTCAAGCGAGTGGATATGTGTGCATATGGGTTGAAGTGTCCTGATTCACAGTTGCCCATTCTCAAACCCACGGGTCTGCTGATGTCCACATCAGCCGAGAGCGACTTGAGCCACATCCGAACATGTCCAGGTTGCGCCAAGCATAGACCTATCGCTGGCAAACTTAGGTCAGGGCAGAATGTCAGTAGCTTTTGCGCCGAATACACAACTCAGTTTGTTGAGAGCATGCTGAAACTGTTTGCGTCAGAACCCAGTCAATCTGGCATGGATACAGAAGCGCTCCTGTCGGAACTCGATGGGTCCTGTCTTGCAGCGGAACCCATCGCTGCTGAACCTGTGGCAGCTGAGATGGCTGGAGCCAATGAGGAAGAAGAGCAATCAGTGTCAGGAGAATCTCATGAGAATGTGAAAAGAGCACTGAAGCGATTACACACTAATCTAGGCCATCCGAGCAATAAAGATCTCGTTCGTATCCTGAAACATAGCAAAGCCTCAGAGACAGCCATCCGCCTGGCCCAGGATTTCTCGTGCCCAGTGTGCCAGAATCACGTGCAACCGTCCAGCGCATTGCCAGCAAAGAGCTCACGTCAATGGACGTTCAATGATCGTATTGGCATGGATGTGAAATATTTGCCTGGATGGAAGCCGAATCATCGTTGATTATGCGACCTCACTTCAAGTCATGGCTCCGATCTTTGAGCGTGAGTCGGCCGAAGTGCTGAAAGGAGTCCTTCGAGATTCTTGGATATCGTGGGCTGGTCCGGCTCAGCAGCTAGAGATGGATCCCGCCAAGACCAATCTGGGTGAATCCCTAGGTTCCTTTTGTGAGTCTTTAGGTATAGATCAAATGTTCACGGCTGCTGATTCGCATTGGCAACTAGGAAAGGTAGACACGGTCAATGGTTTGCGAGGATCTTTGAAAAGGTCATAGATGAGTGTCGACCCACATCCGCTGAAGAATTCGTTGATTGTGTTCTGCAAACCCAAGTAGCAAAGAATAGCCTCATCACAGAACAGGGAGCAAGTCCATATCAACTGGTGTTCGGTCGAAACCCCAGGGTGCCAACTGATCTCCTCCAAGAAGATCCACATGTAGCGGCCTCAGATGC